ATCTTGACGATGAAACGGCGCCCCCACAGATACGGTCTCCAGTGCCGCACAGCAAGGACAAGCCCTATGAGCTCCCGCTCATAAGCGGCGAGGGAGCGATGGCGGGGCGCCACCGGCCTGCTGAAGAAGGCGATCGGGTGAGCCTCCTGGATGAGCACGGCCCCAAAGCCATAGGTGGACGCGTCGCACTCCACCACGAAGGGCTTGGTGAAGTCCGGCAAGGTCAGCACCGGAGCCGACGTGACTGCCCCTTTGAGGGCGCTGAAGGCCGCCGCCGCCTCGGTCGTCCATGCGAACCCCTCCTTCAGGAGAGCCGTGAGGGGTGCTGCAATGGTGCCGTAATTGTGGACGAACTTGCGGTAGTAGCCCGCCAAGCCGAGGAAGCCGCGCACGGCCCGTGCAGATCGGGGCTGGGGCCAGGCGTGGATGGCTTGGACCTTGGCAGGATCCATGGCGACGCCAGCCGCGGAAATGATGTGGCCGAGGTAGGCGACGGAGTCGACGCCGAACGAGCACTTGCACCGCTTCACAAAGAGGCGGTGCTGGCGCAGGATGGTGAGGACGGCGCGGAGGTGTCGCAGGTGGTCCGCCCAAGTAGTGTTGTAGATCAGAATGTCGTCAAAGACAAGCACAAACCGGCGTAGGTAGGCGCGCAGCACGTCGTTCATCAAGGCCTGGAATGTCGCTGGGGCGTTGCACAGCCCGAACGACATCACCAGGAACTCGTAGAGTCCGTCATGGGTGCGGAACGCCATCTTGTGGATGTCCTCCGGCCGCATCCGCACCTGATGGTACCCCGACCTCAGGTCCAGCTTGGTGAAGAAGCGCGCGCCATGGAGCTCGTCGAGGAGCTCATCGACTACGGGAATGGGAAATGCGTCCTTGACGGTGAGGGCGTTGAGGGCGCGGTAGTCGACACAGAAGCGCCACGAGCCGTCGGCCTTCTTAACGAGGAGGACCGGCGAGGAGAACGTCGAGTCGCTGCGGCGGACGATGCCCTGCTCGATCATGGCGGCGAATTGCCGCTCCAGTTCGTCCTTGTGGGCCGCCGGGTACCGGTACGGGCGGACAGCGATGGGGGCCGCGTCCGGCTTGAGGACGATGGCGTGGTCGCGGGCGCGCTGCGGGGGCAGCCCCCTAGGCTCGGCGAAGACGTCCCCGAAGGCGGCCAGGAGCTCGTCGAGGAGCGACTCACTGGCCGCTGTCGTGGCGCGGAGGCGCGGCGTGGTGGTCAACGGCACCCCCGACCAGCAGAAGGCGCGCCCGTGGTACTGGAAGGACATGGAGCGCTCCGCGAAGTCCCAGACGATCGGGCCCAGGGTCGCCATCCATTGGGTGCCCAGCACAATGTCGTACCCTACAAGTGGCATGACAAAGAGATCGACGGTGAAGGAGGTGTTGTCGATGGAGACCGGGGCATGCCGGATCACGCCAGGGCAGGCGACCTTCTCGCCATTAGCCACAGTCGCCGTCAGGCGCGGACGGGGCTGGACAGGCAGCCCAGTGCGCTGTGCCGCCTCCTCGGCGATGAAGTTGTGGGTGGAGCCGCTGTCGAGGAGGGCGGTGAAGGTCGCAGTGCCCAATGACACCTGGACCTGCATCATGTCAGAGACCGGAACGCCCGCGACGGCGTGGAGGGAGAAGACCGGGGACTCCGTGTCCTGCGTGGCCTCGTCCGCGGCCGCGTTGTCGTCGTCGTCGTCCACAGCGTAGTCCAAGAGGAAGAGGCGTTTACACACCTTGTTGTGGCCGCGGCTGTACCTCTCATCACAGTTGAAGCACAGGCCAAGGCGGTGGCGCTCGTCCTGCTCTGCCTGGTTAAGCCGCTTCACCGGCCAGCCCTCGACGGTGACGTTGGGCGTAGCCGGCTTGGAGCTCTGCGGGTAGGTCAGCGCGGGACGCGGCTGCGGCGCCGACAGAAGGCCACGCGGTGCGGCCTTGGGCGGAGCCATGGCTGTCGCGGTGTACTGCTCCCGCAGTTCCATCTGGCGGGCCAGGCTCATGGCGGCCGCGAGGGACTGCGGGTTGTGGACCTGCACGTCGAGGCTGAGCGGAGGAAGAAGGCCGCCCGTGAACAGCTGCACCCGCTGCGCCTCGTCGAGGGGGCCGACGCGGGGAAGGAGCGCCTAGAAGCGGTCCTGGTACTCCGCGACGGTGGAGGTACGGCGGCAATCGACGAGCTCGAAGAGGGGGGCGGCGCACAGGGGCGGCCCGTACCGCAGATTGATCAACTCCTTGAAGCGGCGCCACGACGGGGTACCCTCGTCCGTCTGGACTTGGATATACCACAGCTGGGCGCCCTCCTCGAGGTTGTAGGACGTCATCCACACCTTCTCCTCCTCCATGATCCGCTGCTGGTGGAAATACGACTCGCACCGGTTGATGAAGATGAGCGGGTCAGACTTGCCATCGTACCGCGGGAAGTCCATCTTCTGGAACTTCGGTGGCCGATCCTGATGGTGCTCGCCGGAGAACGGCTTGCTGCCCGACGAGGGTGATCGGTCGGCGATGAGGGCGGCGATGGCCTTGGTGTTGGCATCCAGCGCCTTGGCGTTGGACTCAGCGGTGGCGTGCAGGGCCGCGACGGCCTTGGCGAGGGCTTCGACGGTGGTCTTGAGGTCGCCATTGTCTCCCATGGGTGCGGCACAGGAGGCTGCGGAGGACGAGGCCGGGGAGGCTGGCGTGGTGGCGCGACGGCCGGAGGTGGTGGAGGAGAGGGCGCGGCGGTTGGTGGAGAGGTGGGGCGGGACGACGAGGATCGCTGGGACCGTGATACCAGGTTGTCAAGGGCGTCGGGCCCTTGGGTAGCTGGACCTCGGCTACGTAGTTCGTAGCCACGACCCGTCTTCTCCGGCGAGGTTTTCCCCTCCGCCGCAGACTTAGTTGTTTAGAGAGAGAGAGACGAGATGGGTAATATCTTACTTCTTTTCTTTTAATTGTCTCCGGTACAAATATATATAGCCTGAGGTCGAACTGACTAGAGCCAATCGGCTCCTAGAATTAAGGACTAAGAATAGCAACTAATCCTATCTTTCCTACTAACCACCGGAGGCTGGCTTGACCAGGCCCAACCTCGCGCGATCAACGCGCACGGCAGCACGCCGCACGTCCCTGGTGCGCCGTCGCCTGCTGTACGTCTGGCCCCACATGACAAAAATCCACTTATGTAAGATTCAAGTTGATTGATGTCTCCAACAAGGTAGCATTTGTGGTTCCAAAGGCACCAGTGTAGCCACGTTTGGCACAAGGGAAGTCTTGGAGTGAAGTAGGCCTTCTGTCAATATCATTCCAAAATTGCGACAACCGTTTCAGTAAGACAAAACATTGCACAATGTGTATGTTTTTTACAAGAAATTATTTTAGTATTCTGCTCTCAGCTCAACTTTGTATCGACAAAGGAGAACATACATTGTGGAAAAAATTAACTAGTCACCAATATAAGAATGCGACTATTATCTTTGTTTTTACAAATGACAGTCACCTAGACAAGTAGCTATGATATTACAGAAGCAGTTCCGTTTGTTGAATGGGGTGAGGAAAGGAGATAACTCGTGCCATTGATTTCATTTCCTTTCACTACTAACTTCCCTGAACTTAGATTTGCTCCAATTTCTTTAACTGGTGCGAACTCAATGTTATGCAGTGGCATAACTCATATTTGCATCAATTTCTAGACATGCCAATGTTATGTACTCTCTCCATTCCAAATTGTAAGTCCTTCTGGCATTTCTAGATTTCATTAAGCATAATCAGTCCAGAACAATAAACTGCAGATCCTTTGGACTCCTTATTGCAAAAAAAGAAAAAAGATACAGTTCCATGCTGCCACAGTTGTTCAATATCAGACATAGTCAAATGCAGCCAAGTATGTTCGATGTCGTATTGTTGTAGCTTCTAAAGATTGCATGCCATAAACAAAACATACTTTATTAGTTCTTACTTCACTGTTGCAGCACTTACACCTGTTAGGCTGTTACCTTCATGAGTCAGTTAATTAGCCATTTCCCCATTAAATTGTAAATGGTTAAATGTGGGGAGGACCTAAAAATCTATGACTGATACTGTTCATAAGAAAAGATTCATTGTCACAAATGAATCATAGAGAATAGCAGGTAAGGTATCAACTGTCACTACTAAGTCAGCACAGATTTAACACTAGTACACTCCTGGTATTGTGCCACTGGTCCACTACACGGTGAAAGGAGTATTTGTGATAATTTAGCAGAGTTTTTCTCTTTTCAATTCCTTTTTTGGCTGTACCTAAGGATTTGAAAATCTCAGTTCTCACCACCTAATATACTAGTTTGAATGTTCTCAGTTGTCAACATTTCTTTTTTTATTATTATTTTCATATGCCAATCTCATAAAGCAAATCCTATTATTTAGCATTATTCCAGAGTCTGGAACAAGAATGCTTTCCACAAGGTCCAACCATCAAGAAGACCCAATCTACTTGAGGGCCTGTTTAGATTTCAAAAAATTTTGCGCAGTACCCGTCACATCGAATCTTGCGGTACATGCATGGAGTACTAAATGTAGACGAAAAAAAACTAATTGCACAGTTGGATAAGAAATCGCGAGACGAAACTTTTGAACCTAATTAGTCCATAATTAGACACTAATTATCAAATACAAACGAAATGCTACAGATCCCCAAAATCCAAAAATTTTTGGATCTAAACGGGGCTTAAGAAGAGCTGTGGCTATAGGTGTAACTCTACTTCTGCCAAATCAGGATCTCAGTCAGCAAATTAGCAATACTTAATGCAGTCACACATGAACTGCACCCAGAAGACAAAGAAAAAAAACATATGTCCACAAAATCTTATGATGATACACATTGGACCAATCAACTCCTCGAAGCTAGCTTTAAACAGAAGAAACCAAAGTATAGTCGTTGCTAATGCTACAAAACTAAAAAAATGAGTCCACAGAAGCAGAGCCAGGACCCAGAGATACACACTAGCAGCTATTACTGCGTACCATTGGGTGGCGCGATCTTAGGGGAAGGGCGGCAGCCGCAGCATGGCGTACTCGGTGTCCACCGGGTCCGACCGCGAGATCTGCAACAACACCCCAAAAATCCCAGAACCAGAACACTCCCTAGATCAGCAACTTTGCACGAACAGGAGATGCAACGAGGAACAAGCACTGGTTTCGGCCAGGAGATGCACGAACCGGGTCGGGGAGGACGGGCTTTGTGTCGTCTGCGGCGGGCCGGAACGGCGGCTTTCGGCTCTTCGTCGGCGCCCCGGAGGACGAGCACCTCCCAGTGCTATCCGTCGCGGCCACGGTGGGGTTGGAGCCAGAGCCACCGGAGAAGGGGCCCGGGACCGCCAAGGGGGTCACGAAGGCACACGGCCTCTCGCTTCTGGTGGACATGATCCGGGGAAGTGGTGGATCACCAGTTGGGCGGCTCACTTCGGTCTAAGATTTCAGATCTGAGGATTTTGGTGCCTGAGCACAGCCGTCTTCAGCAGTTCAGCACTGCTACTGCCTGTTTCAGCAAGTCGTACACAGCAGTCAGATAGACACAGACTCGTCGTGCATTTGCTTCCTCTAGAAATGAACAAGGTTGGTTTCGCGAAAAAAGAAATGAACAAGGTTGAGCTTATGCTTGATCATGTATGAACAATACACCAAATCTAAATCTTACGGCAGCAGCACCATAAAATGCCCAGAGAGCACAGAATGTCCAGATCAAACTAGAAACAATAGCAGCATATTTATATAATTGGGCGATTCTGAAATCTCGAAGTAGCGAAGCACATGAAACAAAGTCATCTGGCTGTAAGGAGTGTAAACTAATACTACCACATGCCGATCCTGTTCCAGGCATTTGCCCTCACGGCTCACACTGCTGTGTAGGATGACAAGCTAGTTTGCTTTTGATTTACCATTCCAATAGACACAAGCTATTAATGCGTACAACCCAATATGATACACAATTTATTATGCAAGTTACAGAAATATATCTCGAAAATCCACAGAATACCAAAAATAATAGGTTGCCATTCTATAATTTTTGTTCTCCTGTAAACGAAATCTAAACAAAAAATAATAGGTTGTCATTCTATAATTTTGTTCTCTAGTGAAATGAAATCTTCTATGTTTCCATTCTTACGCGAAGTGAAATTTGAAAGTCGTTCCTAGTAGAACGATATTTGTTTTAGGAGAATAATCAATTTCCATGAGAATAATCATTTTTCATGGTACACAAGTAGAACGATTGCCATTAATCATGTTTTTAGTCTTTTTTTCCTAAAACAAAGAATCATGTTGAAAAAAAACAAATTATTGCTCCACTGTGTGATTTATTTTTCATAGAAGAAAGCCACAGGCAAAGAATACAATATAAGTCGCGACAAGAATGACATAGTACTAATTTTTTTGAGCAACTGTGACAGGCACTCTGCCCTTTCATTATAGTGTAGGAAAGCAGAAAATAGTTTATATACAGTTCCAACAAGGAAATTAAAGAAACCAACTAAGAAAACAGACAAAGTACTAGAAACTAATTGACAAATTTAATTTAGCAAGAGACACGCGCTTTCTGCAATTACACACCCATCTCTCAGTTCATGGAGAAGGTGTCCACTTATACAACTTACTAAACTTACTACACTTATACAGCTTATCAAAATCCTGATCCTCATTCTCGCACGTGGTCCACGTTCCATCTCCGAGCAGCGTATGCAGAAAATAATGCATCCAGCTGTCTTGTAGTTCTTCTTCAATGAAGTACAAGTTGAAGCTTACAGTCACACTTTGAAGATCTGTGGCGTTTGCGAGCACGAACCGCAAGAAGCGGAGTTCGCAGCCAGTTCCCGTCATTCCCCTGAAATCTGCTTTGCGGAGGTTAGGTAGAGAGATATTGCTTGATTCCCAGTGGTCTGGATGGTTGCAGGTGAAACTGAAAGCTTCATCACCTTCTGAGTCATATTCATCCTGTTGCAACATGAAACCATGCATATTGCATGGTTTAGTGAGATGGAAACTCTGGATGAAACAAATATATGCTGCAGGTTTGTTTAATTTGGAGTTAGGATAATGTGCTGCTCACCGTCTTAGGGCAGATATCTGATGCATCTAGCTGTAGACTGAGAGATTCGAGATTTTTTAATCTTGTGAGGAGACCTGCGACCCCATCTCCAAAGGAATGGCGCTCACATATAGTACCAATGCTAACCAACCTGTAGGAATCTTATCTTTGATCAAGTCAACTTGCCGCTCATCTCCCCGACGATCAAATCAAGGGTCAGAAAAAAACAGATGCAATTAAGCAACAGGAGAAGGAATATTATCAGCAATAGATCAGATTTGAACTTTGCATCTAGCAAAGCCAACAAATTGAAAGAGTGTGAAACAGACAGTGCAAATAAATGCCGCAGTCTCACAAGATATATACGTAACGATGGAACTAAAAGAGGATGCACGAGTAAGTGAGGTTCTCGAGCCTCGGTGCCGAGACCCTGAGTGACTCGTGATAGCACTCGTCGATCCCAAGATACAGGAGCTTCGGGGTCCTCAGTTCCAGCAATTCCATCCCCTCAACAGCCTCCATGGACAGCTGACAGCTCCAAGAGCTCACCGGTGTCGAGCACCAGCTCCTTGGTCCCGGCGTGCAACAAGTTGACGCGCATCATGCGCAGCTTCTGCAAGCTTGGGCAGCACACCGATGACAAGAGGCGAGCAAGGTGGCCACTGTTAAATTGGCTGCTCCCTAGTGTGAAAGTACGGTAGGAGAAGGCGACGTGGAAAAAGTTCCCTGCTGTGGTACTATAGCCACAGCAGGGACAGACGTCAAAGTCAGACCTGTTGTTACATCTAGTCACTGTAACATAGTATGTGGTCGGCAACGTTGGTGAGTGATCGGCTCACGTACCAGAAATCTATGGGGCTAACAGCCACTGCCCGCTGCTAACTCTACGAATTCGAGGGTAAGGTCCTCGAGTGATGTGAACACCGCGGTGCGTGGGAGTCGGACTTTTGCGCTGCTTAACCCCAAACGCATACACTCCAGCTTTGGGGAGCTAGGAAGAAGCCCATCAAGATCCATTACAGGCGTCTTGTTGTCTAGTGGCAGCAGGCGAAGGTTGAACTGGAAGCCCTTCACTTGGTGATGCATGGCGTACCGAATCCACGCCTCAGCTGCTTTCATGGCCAGCGTCAGGAGTTGTTTGGCTGTTGCCTGTGCGGTGGTTTCGGCTGCGGCTGCAGCTACAGTACCCGAGTGCTGAAAAAGCCACCGCCGCAGCGGCTGCAGGCCATGGAGAGAGTACACGTCCATTAACAGCGGGATCTTCACTTCGTCGATGCGGGCTTCCGATGTCGCACCCGCTCGCTGCTCCAGTACGTCGTTGACGATGGCGATGTACTGTTGGACGTTGCCGGCTGACTTGAACTCCGGCCACCCGAAGAAGTCCAGGACGGGTAAGCGCTTCCAGAGGCCGCGTCACCGCTTTGACAGCACCCTCGTGCGCACCAGCTCCCTCACGTTGAGGTGCGTCGACCTGAGGATGAGCTCACACAAGTCGTCATCCAGGGCGCTGATCCGATCGTCGCCGGCGCCGTCTTGGTCAGCGGTTGGGCTTGGCGGCGGTGGCGTTTGCTTCACCTCCTTCTTCATGGACTGCAAAGGCCGCCAGATGGGGAAGCAGGCAAGCAGTAGCGGACCCTGGATTTGAAACAAGGGTAGTCCTAGTCAAAATTTCATGTGCAATACGATTAAAAAAAAGTTCGGTGATACATGATTATAAATTAACCAAATTACGATAATATATTTAAAACAAGGTTGAGCTTATGCTTGATCATTTATGAACAATACACCAAATCTTACGGCAGCAGCACCATAAAATGCCCAGTGAGCACAGAATGTCCAGATCAAACTAGAAACAATAGCAGCATATATATATATATATATATATATATATATATATATATATATATATATATATATATATATATATATATATATATATATATATATATATAATTGGGCAATTCTGAAATCTCGAAGTAGCGGAGTACATGAAACAAAGTCATCTGGCTGTAAGGACTAAGGAGTGTAAGCTAATACTACCACATGTCCACATGCCCATCCTGTTCCAGGCATTTGCCCTCACGGCTCCCACTGCTGGGTAGGATGACAAGCTAGTTTGCTTTCGATTTACCATTCCAATAGACACAAGCTATGAATGCGTACAACCAAATATAATAGACAAGCTATTTGTGCCTCTGACCCAATCCAATCAAAACATAAGGAAACTCCTAGAAGGATCCCACCCCTGGTGCTCTATCACTATAAATTCCTAGAAGGATCCACCCCTGCCCTGGTGGCTGGTGCTCTATCACTATTCACTCCACAGGAGTTTCGACGAACAGCTACCGTGCGCCCACGCAGCAAAGGCAATCCCGGTCTTTCAAACAAGCAAGCAAAGGCAATCGCGGCTCCAGCCCACGTTAGCCGCACCGCACCGGTGCGTGCACCCGCCCGACTCTACTCCGAACGGGGGAAAAAACAGCATGGATTGATGAATCGATCGATACGTCGAGGCGATTCCTCTTACGGTCTTACCTTAGCAGGCTGACGAACTCGTGGGAGAGGAGAGGAGCGCGCGCGCGACTCCGTGTCGATGTGGCGAATTGGCGATCGGAATGGGAGAGGAGCTGTTGTTGTCTTGTTTCTTTCTCGCGCCGTGGGAAACAAACGGATTTAGGGATGGCGGACGGGGCGCGCGTCCGAATTTTTTATTTTTAGCCCTATTTTGAAAAAAATATTCATAAATAGATCCTTGTTAGTTTGATTTTTGTTTATGGATCCTGACATCGGCGCCTTTCACTCCTGTTTTTAAAAAATATTCACGAATAGATCCCTGGTGGTTTGATTTTTGTTTATGGACCTTGACCTCGGCGCCATGGCTTTTGGCGCCGAGGAAACACGTCTCGACGTCATGGCGTCGAGGTCTTGGCGAGGCGTCGGACGTGGCGGTGACCTAACGCCGACGTGGACAAGGCCTCGGCGCCATAGATCTTGGCACCGAGATCGGCGCTGTAGATCTTGGCGTCGAGCTCGGTGCCGTAGATCTTGGCGCCGAGCTGTTACACTATAGATCTTGGCGTTTGAAATGAAACAAGTATAATTGTTCCGAGAAACATGCAACAACACCATTGCAATTCAGTTAGTTAGAACGTGCACGACTTAGTTCAAAGTCCTGGGTTCAAACCCCAGCGCTGAATCTTTTTTTTTGGTACATTTTTATAAGCAACAGAACAATCTAGCCATAACAATGTTGGGTGCCAAATTAAATGCAAGCTTTTAGTATCAAAATGTTTCATCAATGTTGGCTCAACAGTGGAAGATCAATATTTTATATTGGTAAAACTAGTGAACAAATCAGGACATACACCCAACCAGGACATTGCTGCCTGCTCAATCAGTGAACAAATTAGCACAAGGGCATGTGTATCCATTTCAAACATGGAAGCCATAAATATTAAACCTTAGAAAAAGCAACCCACAAAAGTGGAACACCTTGCACCATTTCTTTGATAAAAGCTAAAACCTCCAGGCCCAATTATAGATCCTGCAAGTAGATAACCTCTAATCACCTGAAATATACTTTGAATCGTAGGTTCACCTAACTTAACCTAAAAATTACAACATTTCATATATACAAATTATGTTTCCAGTTGTTATTAATGTTATGGAAATTACAGGAAATAAAAGTACAGCTGTAGATTCCACAACATGTAGCAGACACGATAACAACAAGATCTGATATTTACCTACAATAATATACATTCAACAGATAAGTAGCATACTGAATACATATCCTTGACTCAGATCAGAGCTTAGAGTAACTCGTGTACCTTAAGAAAATATATAGAAACATATAACAGAGCATTCAACATATTCCTCTCTGTATTCAGAGACACATGTCCTTGTCCTATAATCTGAAAACAAAAAAATCCGCTGCAATCTGGAAAAAAAATTCTCCATTGCAACACAGATCAATTCAAAAAGCAAAATGTTGGTAAAATATGTTAAGATCATGTCAAAAAACAACTATCATGTCAGTGGATATTCATTTGACATGTAAGACAAAAAAGAAACACATGATTTCATTCAAACTCAGCTTGGAAGCGGATATTGGATCCATCAGCATTTTAAGTTCAATGACTTTGAATCAAAGCAGCATCACTATAAACAACCAAGCTAAGCCTATAATTTCATATTGAGTGGGTTTGCCTAGTCACTGATGCCATTAGCCCATAAATATAAAAATAGAGTAAAGCCTTGCTTACAATTATATCTACCATCTATTAATCAGAAACAAATGAATAATACCGTGTCTCTCTCATAACGTCCAACTCGATGTGGGTCTTAATTAATCAGAAGCGCGCATGTTGTTCTGTAAATGTAAGCGCAACAAGGTTCGCTCAAAAAAAAATCATGTGGATCTGTTAAGTTCAACCATGTATTTTCTAATCTATCTTTATCTAGTGTTAAATGCCGACATTTTTACTCAATGCATAATTTTTTCTGTTAAGCAATAGAACACCAACTGAAGCACAATGGGATCATTGCATGTTCCTCGAAATAATTTTTCTTGTTCTATTACTTATAAAAATGTAGCAAAAACAGAAGTCGTGCATGTCCTAACCAGCTGAACTGCAATGGTGTTGTTGCATGTTTTTTGGAACAATTATACTTGTTTCATTTCAAACGTCAAGATCTACGGCGCCGATCTCGGCGCCAAGATCTATGGCGCCGAGGCCTTGTCCACGTCGGCACCAGGTCACCGCCACGTCCGACGCCTCGCCAAGACCTCGGCGCCATTGGCCATGGCGCCGAGACGTGTTTCCTCGGCGCCAAAAGCCATGGCGCCGAGGTCAGGGTCCATAAACGAAAATCAAACCACCATAGATATATTTGTAAATATTTTTTTAAAAAAAAGGCTGAAAAATAAAAAAAATTCGGGGAGCGTGCCTCTGGTTTTCTTTCTTGGAGCGTGGGAAAGATGGAAAGATCACGCACAGCACGACCAGGGGCCCAAGGCAGGGACGGGCCAGAAGGAGGAAAAAAATTCGGTGCAGTCTGGCTGCACCCTCCGGCCGTGCAAACTGTTTGGATCTCGCAATTTGGTCTGGAATTGTCAATGGTGATTTTACATTTGGGCCTAATTTCGTTGCGGCAGCTCGTGGGCTCATGGCAGGTCCATCGGCCATCGCCACCTGCCGACCTCATACCGCTGCACTGCACTGCTGCTATGCAGCAGGCCAGCAGCACGCGCTCCTCGACGCTCGCAGATGCCGGTGACAAAGGATGCTCTCTCGTTCTGGACTTGTGCAGGTGACATGTGACAAGGATGGATGCTGCCTTTTGTCGGATGGCTTGTGGGTGCTCCTGCTAATAATAAGTGTTGCACGTTTTGTAGTACCAGTTGCAAGTTGCGTCGACGCCCTATTTCAATTCAGACCCAACTGTAAAACTGACGGTTTACTGAAATTTTTACTCCGTGGTAAAAGAAAGTAAAGCAAACGAACTGAAGTTAATGAACTCATTTACATGGGGTTCATCATTGTGAAATGTGAAGCAAGCAAATAAACCCCTCCCCTTAGCATCCAACAAACCGAACAATCAGACGTGCATTTTCCACAAACTTGCGACGGTAGATTTGAGCGACCGAGCCAAGTGCAAATCATCATTCAACAATCATTACAGGAATACTCAGCCACTGGAATCTAATCTAATCTATGATCATAACATCTCAATGAAAAGATGGATCACAGGCACGAAACACCAAAGTAACCAAAAGTTCGAAATCATGGCAAATGGTTGCGGTAAGGATTCAATTTCAGGCACAGATAGAGGTTCACATTCTAAGAGTTCATGACGAATTACTGGACCTAACTATTCTCAAGATTCTGTGACTACGATAAGTCATCCTCAAAGCACAGCTAAGATCAGGAAGATGTAAGCTTGTGAGTATTAGGGTTGGTGCTGATAGTTTGAGCTAATACCCACTGTGGGCCTATAATGGTCTTCCTCGCGTATTAGGGTCGTACGTTGCATACTGTTTTGTGACAACCGTAAGAGAACGCTTCCAATGTATAACAATGAAAAAAAGTAGCTGAAGAACAAAAAACAGACGGCTGATTGGACCCTCCTTTTCAACTTTTGGTAGTTGGTACGTACGTATACACCACAAATGACCTGGTTCATGTACAAGGCCGATCTTCTAATGTTGACTGGCTTCTATCTAATAACGAGCCACAACACAGTTTAGAACTGGCAGCCTCTTAAATAGTTTGTCAACTCAGCATTAGTGTTGGTGAGCCCACCAAAGCCTCCGTTACATCATTTACCACAAGCCTGCACAACTTCAATCCACTCTCATCATTCACTATACTCTGAAGAATATGATGATGTATCACCTTCATCCTCATCTGCGTTGGCTGCTCCATCTCCACCATCGTCATCGTCGTCGTCCCGAATGTCATCATCCCCACCCATCTCAACATCGTCATCCTCATCACCAGCAGGATTTTCAGCTTCATAGTCCTCTCCATCATCCTCACCCTCATCTCCTTCAGCATCCTCATCGTTATCGTCACTCGCATCATCCATCATTTGTACAGGGCTGGACTCCGAATTGTCCCTTGGATAGACTGAAATCTGCTCATCATATTCCTCGTTCATAGGCTCACCATTTTCCTCCTCTGACTCGTCAGATTGAGAAACCGAATTGTCATCATCATCCTTGACATATTCCCTTCTCTCCAAGGCCCACTCTTCTGCACCTGAGCTCTCAGGAGAATGCATAGTGCCAGTGTGATTTGCCTTACTTAACATACTAAAGCTGCCCAATAGGTTTGCCTTTGGAATTGATCTGGCACTGAGCTCGGATGGTTGCCGAGGTCTAACAGTTCGAGGTCCACAGCCACGGCCACGGTTACGCCCACCGCGTGCATTCTTTCGAGGGGCTCTCCCATAGGGCACACTATTGTCATCCCTGGACTGAATCCTGGAAGAGCTGCCAATACCCCTGGGAATCCTACCACCACGACCACGAGATCTACCTCCCCTGCTACCTCCTCTACCTCCCCGTCCACGACCTCTACGACCATTGCTGTTAGTTAGCAACGCTCCATCCTGTTGATCAAAATCAATAGGTCTGAACTGTTCTATTTCTTGTTTGTTCTTATTAATAGAAGGGCGGGCCTGGTGCAAGCGGTAGAGTCTTACCTCCTGTGACCAGAAGGTCCCGGATTCGAGTCGCGGTCTCCTCGCATTGCACAGGCGAGGGTAAGGCTTGCCACCAACACCCTTTCCCAGACCCCTCATAGAGCGGGAGCTCTCTGCACTGGGTACGCCCTTCTTATTAATAGAAGGATATCTCGGTGGAAGCTTCTGCACAGTGAAAAAAGAAACAAAATCATGTCACTGATCCAGACATAGCAGATCAAGAGAATCAATTACCACATGTAGTCACCACTAGTCTTTTGATGCAATAATAATAAGCCATAGGGCTCACCATGAAATCTCCAGCTTCTTGCTCCTTATTTGAACCCAACTTTGGATGAAGTGCGTATGAGATGGAAGTATCCAAGTCTAACAATCTTAAGGCGACAGCAGCGGTAGTGTCAGGAACCCATGGAAGTACAGTGGCAGATGCAGAACCTCCAACTGAATTCTGGGTAGCATCTTGTGTTTTTGAATTAAGCAACTCAGTTGTTGTTTCAAAGTTAGATGATAAGTAATCTCGCTTTATTGCACCTTCCAGCACACTAAGCATCTGCAGAAATATGACATGGCAGGATTTAGATACGCACACAAAATTTATACATAAACTTTCATGATAAATTAAAATCAGGCTTCTTAAACCATGCTAATTCTCCTCTTACACAATAGCTATCCAAGTCGGTTCATAAGCGTATATAGTGGTGGAAGTTCAATACATTAACAACTTAGTAATAGGTGTAACAGTGGTGGAAGTTCAGAAGGGCCAAGGTGGACCATGGGCCACCTCGTCAAAAGAATTTTTTTTTGAAAGTACTACTAGTACTCAATTTCACCATTCAATTGCCAAGAAAATACTAATTTGGGCCCCTCTTTCCTTTGGTCTTGTTATAAAATGGTATCTTCTCCAATCCTTTCCAGACTCCGCCACTTGAATTATACAGCAAACAAATATAGCAAAAAAAAAACATGAAATGCAACCTGCAAGACTTCTTCGGCAGATGATGCAGAATACAACTTCACACCCCAAGATTTTCGATACCCATCCGTCCAAAAAGGTAGGAGAGCTTCTGCCAGTACTGAAGCCTGTAACACGCAATCTAACAAGTCACACAAACAGCATTTTTTGCAACAAGCAAAATAAATGTCACTAATGAATGATCATAAAAATGTCACTTTACCTCAATGGTAGCTAAGAGCAGCCTCAGCAATCTCAATCCTACAGGTACAGAAAAGTCCACAATTTGCGTCTTCCAATTAGGATCTGTTCTCTGTTTTTCTTCACATTGTGATGAGTGCTCCAAGAAATTGTAAATGGGTTTGAATGTCTTGTGGCAAGAAGGACAGTGCCTTTCTTCAGCTAAGTATATCTGGTAGCAATGGTCACAAGATTGAATCAACTCAGGGCACCGCTTCTTTCCATATTTCATGGCGTATGTGGATTGGTGACCATAGCACTCTCTCCACATCCATTTCAGAAACACGGAAGCCCTTTTCGAGATAGAATTTTTCTCGGCTTCATTGCGCCCAATCTCTATCTTGAAAGTATCTGAATATGCCATAAGATTATCAGAAGCAACACCAGAAAGGGTACTGCATGGACTTCCAAACTCATTGTTGCAGTTTGGACTTTCATTACTTCCATTTTTCAAAGTCCGACCAGTTGTGTGTTCTAAACTAGCACACTTTTTCCTCTCAACAGCTTCCTTAAAAGTTGGCTCGATACTTTGCAACATTGAGTGCAGATGTGACTCACGGATGCCACGAGTATCAAGGGAAGCTACCAAAGCATCAAACGCCTGCATTTTTAATCAGAAATCACGTTAAAGCACCAGTATAACAGGATCTCTACATCATGTAGTCAGTCAAGCTAACTTCTTAGTAACCACTCACTATGTGTGTGTTCAATAGTCAACTTACTAACAGGTTTTGCTAGGAACTGAACGAGATATCTGCAGTTACTGCCAACAATTCAAAACCCTATGAACAGTAGTCTTCAAGGACACAACCAACAAGGAATCGGATATTAAAAGACATTCAGAATCTCGTATGAATCATAACTATCTGGAACAAGCAAAACTAGGCACATATAATTTCATAACCAGCGGAAACACAGGTTTCCCAATGAAATAGTGCTAGATGCCAGAGTAGTATGACACAAACATTGTGCCTAACATGACATGGACAAACAAGCACAAAATCTTAAAAGTGAAGCATTTTATAATATCAAATAAGAAGCAAACTTAAAAATAAGAGAATGACAAGTTGACAATTACTCTAAGCATTTCAACAAAATATAGATGGTTCTTGTCAGCTATCAAATACCATAACCCCTGATTCATCCAACTTCAATGCTATACCTTTGATCTTCTAGAAGAAAACAAACACCATAAATCCATAATCCCCACCATTCAAAGTTGATCTAGTGTCTAAGATTGCAGTTCCCGCCATTCAAACTAGATCTAAATACCTCCCAGAGGTTACATAAAATACAAACCAATTAACACATTGAAAGATCAAGAATCATCAGTTGAACTACTCTATTTTAGAGACCTCTTATTGAGAGTATTAGTTGATGAAATTGCAACTAAGATTGTTTTAAGGAAACAACTACCTCAGATGAATCAATGACCCTCCAGTATCCATCTCTAGATTCAAAAAAGATTCTTCCTGAACCAGGGTCATAGGATGATGAAGATGCAGAAAACTGCCAATACCGGTTCCGTCTCCGATCTTGTCCAAGGGGTAGCAATCTGTACACGTAAAGCTGTTCTGCCTTGTGACCTATTAAGGATTTCAACTGAGATCTAGTTTTCTCAGATGAAGCATATTGCTGAACAGACAAGCTTTCGGGGTTAATACTCAATTCTCGGCTTACACCATTCCGCTGATGAAATACATCACCAGTAATAAGCTGGTTCTGCTTGTCAACAAGCAAATCATTGTTCGTCAAACTGGCATTTCCGTTATTGTTTTTAATAGGGTTATGCACTGGCGTAAGGGTACTTTCAGCAGCATTTTCTTGATCTGTATCAACCTTCATACCCACACAAGAATCATACTGTGTCTTACTAGTAAAGTCATCCCTTGTACGCCTCTTATCAAGTTGTGCCTCAGCCCACATTTGTTTTTTTAAAGCACTTGCTGCTTCAAGGCGTTCCTGTAAAGCCTCTTGGTCAGATGATGTTCAATGGGAAAATAGCAAGATAACAAAATCACAATAGAAACATTACCTCCAGAATTGCACGGATATAATTTCCTTCAGTGGCAACACCAATAAGCGCAACCAAAGCATTGAGGCGTTCGTCCACACTAAGATCACAGTAGTCACCCTCAGCTAGCCCCTGTACCCAGGACTCCCCTTGGTTACTTTCGTCTATCTCAGTGTCTTTAGCATCACCTCCAACTTCTGGATCTGTTGAACTTGCTTTACTGTCTAAAGTATGCAATGGTACACTTGCGCTAGATTTAATCTGAATGCTTGGTGGCACTGATGTGTTCATCACACTGTTTGATTCTTTCTTTATGTCACCAACTACTGTACTTTGTGCACCATATTGAGCTCCAACTAGGGAAGACTTGGCATCCTTGTCCTCAATATTCACGTCATCACCATCAGCGTCATCATCAGCATCATCACATTCAGAATCCTCATCCCTTTCAGCCTCATCCACATCCTTCTCCACTTCTTCACACTCCGGCGCGCACTCTGAAACACCCTGATTTTTTCACGTGCTGCTGCCAACACAGCCTCAGAGTCATCTGGGTCCTTTCTGTAAGGAGTTTTAACACAATATGTCGAAGGTGCCGTTCTTTCAAAAGCTTAGTGTCTCTCGACAATGCACGCAGATATAGATGCCTCTGGTGTCTTACTTGTTGTAAGGTCTCTCAGTCCAGATTTCTGAAGAGAAAAAAGAACAAACCAAAATAGGTTCCATTAGAAATAACAGGTCAGTACAATCTAGAAATTTGTTTGATGTGGATATACCTGGATCTTTTCTGCGACTTCCAATATTGTGAGACCTTTGCTCCTTCAAGTGACAGTACATGGAAAGCAGCAAACTTTACTGTTCCAGGTGTCAGGCGGTGTCGAGACCTCAAGACGATTAGTATAGCCTCTTTCTTTCATTAAAGCAGCAGCCTTTACAGCCGCTGAACCATTTCGCAGAATGGAAATGACATCTACACCATTACGGCCCTTTAAAAAAAAGCACGAATTGATTAGATATTTTGGGAAATTTCCATCTTGTTTATACGAACAGCAAAAAGGAAACAGTTTAAAAAACAAGTCTGCTGCAAATATGCAAGATGCAGCTATACTTTTTGAATTGTCATGAATGGAACACATACACCTGTACTTAGAATTGAATCCAGTCAATTTCAAGTAAATTAACCCAAAACCTTTCTTACCATAACCCTGCTACTACCAATGTTCAAAAGGCGGTACTAGGCGCCGCCCGGCGGCGCTTCAGCGCTAGGCGGAGGGGTAACGCCTGCCTTGGGGATAAGCGGAGAATAGGCGCCCGCGCCGCCCGAGGAGGAGCTGCGCCACGGATCCATTGCGGGCCGCTTCCTCCAGGCCTCCTCCTCCCAATCCAGTCAGATGCGCATCCGTTTGAAGGAGAGGGAAGGGAGCATAAAGGAAAGGCAGGCCTTGGGTCGTGATGGCGTGGGGAGCGCGAGGCGAGGCTCTGCTGACAACGCTCGAAGGCTGAGCCTGTGGCCTGCCTGCCTGCAGCCGGACTCCACTGAGAGAGAGGTCACGGGAAAGAAGAGAGAAGGTCACCGGAAAGAAGACGCACTGCTCGGGCTGCAGATGAGATGTGGATAAGACAGAGCGATTTTGCGACTTGCCCCTCGACTTTGTAAAAATTTCTGCAAATTTTCTTGCTATGATTTCCTTTACTGATTTCTTACATTCTAGTCCCTAGAACTTCTATTTTTTTCACAAGATACCACTTCTATTGCTGTAGGAACTTCTATTTATTCAGTATTTCAGCTACTACATTTACATATTTATTCAGCTATACATGCTGAATGCAAATTTAGCAAAACGCCTAGAAAAACGCCTTGAAACGCCTAGGCTAGCCTAGGCTCGCTTAGGCTCTAGGCCATGGGTCGTCGCCTAGAAACCGCCTAGTGCCTTCTTGAACATTGGCTACTACTGGTGATCCACTTAACACCTATTCATTCCCTGGAAGTGCTAACAAACCCATTTAAGACCTAAATCCTTAAGGCCACAGATACCAATCTCTAGTCAGCTTTAAGACTCCAAACAGTAATGTGTATAGTATATATGAGTTTCTCATAAAATGGCAGTTTTCTAGCAGATGCCAGTGGCATCGTCCAATTACACCTTCCCTCTGCATGGGATCACATTTTGGCCATGTAAAATCGAATGGACAATCTAGTCCGTCAACTATCACCCATGGACCAAATGAAGACTTGTCTGCTTATCAGTCCAGGAAGATATGCTAATTAAGCCTTGAAGCACTAATTTCACATGTTTTCAACAAAAGAAATTAATACATAAAGCAATGACATTAAAATAAGCCAGAATTATATAACCGTTTATTATTTCGCCTATCCACAATTTTATGATGCCCCTCAACATGGTGATTCCAGATGCCTAAAATACAAGCAGTGTGAATGTCTAACCCCCCACCCCACAGACACCCATTCTCAAATAGCTATCGTTTAAGAATGCGTACACTAACTTTTACACCTACTAGACAAGAGAAACATACTCTCAGATCATTATATGTTTGACATATCCTGCTATTATAGGATGTAGAAAAAGTAACTGTCAAAGGTGTGTCTTGAAGACAATGACATTGCCTAAAACGACAAGTAAACAAGAATGGAGTATTGGCTAAGCAATACAATCATGTTTTCTCGAAATTACTCAATGAAATATAAATTACTCCACATGATTATAATATAACTGTCAAAGTATCATTGAGGTTCACAACGGAAACAATACCTCATTATCTTCGCGGTGATGGACAATTTCAGCATCACTTTTCTTTAACTGAGGCCCGAAACCAGCACATAAACCAAATTGGCGCAATATTTCAGGCCATGTAAGAAAGTTCAAGTGGCGCTGCCAGTTAAGTATGTTGATGCCCCAAGCATACGCCTAAACAAGAAATGTTTTTTCATTAAAAAATCATCACTATCCTTCAAAAAAGAAGGTTTTAGAGAACCAGCAATTCTGAACACATACCCCTTCAACAATTTGTGGGTGGCCACCTCCAGGATTAGCAGAACTGCTCTGATTTACGCCTAAAGCAACTGAAGGAGTCCGGGCAACATCCTCAATATCTTTAATGATAGATTTCAGCAGAGCAACATGCAATTCACCTAAGAGCCTTGAATCCTATCAGATGAATAAGAAGAAGAATTGGTTATGGCACACATCTAAATCCATGAAATGGTATAAGAAAGTGTTCAAAGATATGATGAAACAGTCATGATCCAACAATCAAATTTTAGTTTAGTATGGAAAAGGAAATGTAAATTATATCACTCACAAGAGTTAAACGAGACAGTGCATGACATCATAATATGCTGATATCTTTACTCAATGAAACAAGTAGATGGTACAAATGAAAAAGCCTAGGACCATGTCCCTGTCCTAGTTGTCATCAAGATATAAAATGAACCAGCATCATGTCATCGTATCAAGACTACCTTTCAACATGATATGCTATATCAAGAACTTACATAATCATGAAGAGCCTGCACGAACTCATCCAATGTGAATGATGGAAGCCCAAGAATATCACCAAAGGTAACCAAAAACTTCCAAACCTGGATTTCATCAACACCACGTTCTATTAGAAACATTAATGAATATAAATTCTAAGACGTGATACACTCTTAAGATATGCAATTCCATGATGCAGTAGCAGGATAGCCAAAAAGTAGCAACACAAGGAGAATACATGATCCAATAGAATCATAAATCACAGCAACAGAAAAATGGGCTTTCAAAAAGGACAAAACAGAGACATCAATAGGCCTATTGAACTTCTGTATTCTAGTTCCTGTCCACTGAATAATCTTATCTTAGGAAGGGAAGTATTTTCTTACAGAAAGAGCTATGTCGAAAATTATAAAGCTTTTCATAACCACTCATTGTTTCAAAAGGGGAAAATGTACATTCTAAAGATCAGGAGGTACCATCAAAAGGTTTCCAATAATATCCTCGGAAGCTGCCCATGGTTTTATTGAAAAAGGCACCTTCAGTTTCACAGTTTCAGGAGGAAACTTTCCCAGCATTCCTGCAAATGGAGAAATCAAAATTTCTTACATCACATCAAGCAGTGTACGTGGTCCAGAAGCACAGATCCATGAATGTGGAGTGTACCTCTAAATGAATCAAGCTGCTGTAATGTGTCACTATCAAGAGAAACCATCGAGGGCAGCCCTTTACTACGAGAGGCCAGTTCTAATAGTTCTAAGCGCTCATCTTCCATCAATTCCATACTCTCTCGCGCGATTCTACGTGCTGTAGCCCTCTCATTAGCAGCCTTCTGCTTCGCAGCTTCTTTCTCTCGTCGAAGCTCCTCTTTTTGTCTTAGTTTTTCAGCCTGTGCATGCAACAAATTGTGAACTAAACAGTGCCAGCGTACTAGACTTAAAAGTCTGCAGTTTACTCAATTTGTATTACAAACTGCAGAAACTAGCGAACTTACTCTTATAGATTGTTTCTGCATAAACTTCTCCATACGCTTGTGTTCACGTCTTTGTTCCCTTTGCAATTTCTCTTCTTCCCTCTGTCTTTCACGCATCAACCTCTCCTCTTCCTTACGTCTCTCACGATCAAGTCTCTCTGTTTCCCTCCGCATTTGTTCTTCTCTCTGCCGAAATACGAAAAAAATTAATAATGCATCATGAAAGGTATGCATGAACTTTCTTAGTGCAACTAAGGAAGACCTTTTTGTTCAGCAGATCTTGCTTCTCAAGCTCCTTTCTGATTCTCTTTTCATGAGCCTCAACCTCCCTAGCAATCTTAGCTTCCTCATTATGCTGAAGTAACGATAGACAAAGATAAAATTATATCAAAACGTAATATAATAATACAAAAGAAGACGTTTAGCTGAAATTTGACTGCTGCTGATGCTGATGCTGATTTGTTGTGAGAGGAAAACACTGTTCCTACGCTGAAAAGTACTGCTGAAGCAGTGCTGAAAAACAGGGCATATATCCACAAATGCAGCGAGAACATACCTTGCGCTTTCTGTCCACACGATATGTATCATCATCATGATATCCCATTCTTTCAGAGGATGCGAGGGAGCTTTCGAATCCGGGAACTTGAGGTATGCCAAATTGGCCGTGGATTGGAGCTGCATTAATATTTGACAAAGCCCCCTCATGATCTGTCAATGCCGATGCAATGGGCGATCTGCCACGTTGAGCCAAATGGCTAGAACCAGATGATTGACTGTGAAACGTATAGCCAGGTGCCTGCTCAAGTCCATGTAGAAAGCGTGAACCTGTAGACAGAGGAGCTACCCTCAAGTTTGACGCCTCTGCTGGAGCATCATAGAAGCGCGACTGGCTTGCCCTCTCATATGTGTCACTTGGCTGCTCAGGAAGAAACTGGTATTCATGTACTGCCTGTGAGCCAAGATGAGAAGACCCAACCAAGGACTTTCGTTTCCCTGTATTTGGAAGTAAAGGGTCTGTGGTAGGCAAGAATGCCGAAGCCTACAAAGGGGAAACAGATTTTAAAGTTTAAACTGATCCATGATTGGATTATTTAAGAAAACAATAACCTCATCCAGAACAAAAAGCAGCGGACAAGAAGAGATAGATTAGAACTCAAAAACTCCGAACAATGCAAATCCATGAGGTGTGATAAAGTATAATATAATCATGAAACCAGTGTACAGTAACAAATCTAACGAAAAGACTATGCTCTATAAAGAGAGCATATGCACATATGGTGTCCATTCCCTTCAATGCAACAATATGCATGAAATGAATAAAACATGCAACACAGCAGCGCATGACTCGAATACCATTACAGCGCATATCTTATTAGAACAAAAACACTATTGCACAGCCTTGGCTTACGGAAAATGCCAAAAATATCATTAACTGCAAACTGCAGCCACTATTCCAGTGAAAAGAATCCCTATGAGAAGGCAGATTGATGGAAACAACACATAGAAAAATGGATAGAGTCTCTTTATGTCATCTATTCAAAGACAAGGAGTCGATGAAGTGGTAAAAAAACAAGCATTTGTCTGCAAGCAAACTAATGCATACCTTCATGGGTTTGGGATCATGCCCAGAAAACATCTTGGCCTCATATGATCGGAAGGGCTGCTTTGGTGGCACAGGAACTGCTCCAAAACATTCAAAATAAATAGCAGAAAGTAAATCAGCATAATGTAAATAAGGCAAAGAATACATCAGCAACAATTCAGATTTCAGACTCTACAAAACAATCCGCGTCGAAACTTTCCAACGCTATAAAAAGACATAGTAAAATAGAAATCTGAGTCTATATCCATTACATTTAATAATAAAAAATATTTGAATGACAGTTGGGTGAGCTTGAAAGGTCTACACAATAGGCTTCTAAATCGGTCTTATGTATGTATTGTAAATTTATTTGAAAAATATATATGAAGGCATCAAATATAACACATCAAAGGTGTTTATTCTTGTAGATCGGTAAAGGGGATATTCAAAGTTGTACTAATTACTGGGATTATTATTTTTCCCGTGGTAGTATAACTTTGAATATCCCCTTTACCGATCTACAAGAATAAAGGGGATATTCAAAGTTGTACTAATTACCGGGGAATTAAGTTGATGAGCCCCAGTAATTAGTACAACGCATCATGAGCACAAGGTTCTTACCGATAGGTGCGCCAAATGCACCAGGAGGAAGTGGATCAAATTCAATACCAAGCACTGGCCCATCGTCCCTCAAAGGTTCCCCGATAAGTGCTTCCACAGAATCGATCACCTGGTGCTCAGCTTGCGTAAGGTGCACTGGTGCCATGTGAGGCAGCATAACTTGTGGTGGCTCATAGTATCTCCTCCCAACCTCCGGCACAGATAGCCTAGGCACAGCCGATGACCGGCCAGGCCCTCTCCTGGAATAGGGCGGCAGCTGCTCACCATAGGTTCCAACAGTCCCTAATATCATCTCGCTGGGTGGCAATGGAGGCGGAAGCACAGGCGGCGGCGGCGCTATGACTGGGACGCTAACCTCCTCGTCCCTCAGCTGCCTCTTGGCCGGCGGTTTCCGGTCCTTGAGCCGGCGGTGGCAGAACCACATCTGCAGCTGCCTGTCCGTGAGTTTCAACTGCACCGACAGCTCCGCCCGCTTCGTCTCGTTTGGATACGAATCCTCTACGCAAACAAAATCCCCATGAAAACCACACGCATAATTCAATCAAAAGCTCGCGAAAACAAACCCCCAAAACATTCAGAATCATCAGTGGTCGACGCACCTGCATACGTCCTCTCAAGAACCTCCAGCTGGTAGGGCGTCTTCATGACGCGCTTCACCGGTGGCTTCTCCCCGGATCCGGACGCGCCAGGTGCGCTACTCGCACCACCAACGGCCGCGGGGACCGACGAAGGGCCGGGACTCCCCATCCCCACCGCCGCCGGCGGCCCGGAGCCCCCGTCGTCGGAGGACTCCATCTCCGACGACCGTAACCCTAGATTCGCCTCCACCAGACAACAAAACACACACGCGAAGACCAGGCCACACAGAAGAACAACAACAACCTAATCACACGCTACGGCGATTTCCCCCAATAAATACACAGGCACCGAGCCCGAAGCGAGTCCGCGGCTCGATCGGCGCCACGAATTCCACCAACGAGTGGAAGCAGGTAACGTCGCAGCGCAAACGCGAAGTAAGGATCGGTGGACGCGCCCCAACCCGGACGCGGAGAGTAATAGGGACGCGGGCGCGCGCGACCGCGATGAGGAAGAGGGGAGCAACAGGGGAGGCCACAGATGCAACTCCTCCTCCTCCCGAATTGGTCAGGGGTTTGGATCGCTTCCATGCTAATAAAAACCTTTTGGATTTGATGCCTCCGACTTTTATTATTGCCTTGCTGCTGCTGCTGCTGCTGCTGCTGGCGTTTGATGCTCTTCCGTTCCGCTGCGCTGCCTGGGGGAGTAGTAGTAGTATCCGCCCTTTTTTTCCCTCGATGCGGAGGAGTCAGGCTCAGCAGCCAAGGAAAGAAAGGGAGCAGTGATGTGGATCTGTTCTTGGAGTGGTGTGGATTTCGTGCGTGCGCGTTGTGAATCTCGCGGCGGGCTGGGACGTGCGCGCGTTCATCGGTTGGGGGTGGTTGCGGCTGCGTTCCTCGTTCTCGTTCGTGCGATGAGATCGTAGAACTGTTGGCGGATCTTCTGTGGCGTGGGGCGCGGAATGTTTGTGGCCTACGGGGCAGCGGGGCCCGGTGGGTGGCCGCGCTTCGCGTACCAAAGGGTGCCCGACCGGTGGACGACTCTGCACTCGATGGTCTGCGGGTCTGGCCAGCCGTCGTGGTCCGTGGGACCCGGGGGCTGGTCGAAGTGGAACTTTCACAGATCGTGACTGTAGGAGTGGTGTTGTACGACTGTGTACAAAGCTTGGATTTGGTTGGGACGAGGAAAGGAAAGTACTCCGTGCACTTCTTCTACATTTAAGTGCCTTTTTTTATATTTAGTCAATGGCCCTGTTCGCTTTGCTGAAAAAAAAATGGCTGAAAATATTGTTCGCTGATTTGTTGTGAGAGAAAAATATTATTTGTTCGTTAAAATAGTACGACTCATAAGACAAGCGAACAAGGCCAATATATAATGTTGCCGCTGCTCGGACATAGAAAAATATGAATTGTCTCTATGAATTAATCTTTTAGTTGTATTGGTTGCTTGTATAAGATTGTTGCCTTAAATTTTCTAAAATTTCAAGCACCTCTCACTTTTTTTTGTGTAAGATTGGTGCCTTATCTCCGAACCAGTTTGCACCTGCGTGCTCCATCTTCCTCCACCTTCATCCGTCTTCCTCGCCTCTCTCTCCCCGTCAAATCCATGGCTACTAAGGACCTGAGGTCTGCGACGATGACGAATAAACTGGATCCGACGATCCCGAGCCTCCTCTGACGAGTTGTATTTGCCGACCCTAAGCTAGGAAGTGGTTAGAGTTTCGAGGTTGGCGGTTTTATGTTCTATAGCTATAAAGGGGGGTTTTGGGGAGATGAGCTGTGATAGCGATCATAGGTAGTGGAAGAGGCTGGTTGGGCGGTGCTGGTAGCGGGGTAGTAGATCGGTAAAGAAGAATAAGATAATTGGATTAGTGATGATGGCAGCGGGGACGGCATGGGAGAGCGGTGGAGCCGAATGGGGAGAGGTGGCAAGGGGAGCACGAGGTTGAAGAAGGGTCGGTTGTGCGTTAGTTGCATCCATTATATTGTGGTTTGAGAGCGAGGTCAAATGTCTAGACGTGCAAAGAATAAAAGGAAATAAGGGATGTGAGGTGGAAATAATGGGCTATCCATTATTGTGCTTGGATTATATCAGGTCTGTAAGGAAAGAGGGGTGTCATGAATGCCGACCATGGCTAACTCCTTTAAAAAAGAGAGGGCGATGGAAAAAATAAGAGATCTCCTCAAGGACACAAAACGAAATATATAGGAGGAAGATAAGGGGGTTGGGGGAATCCTTTTTTTTTGCTTGGACTAAGCTAAGACCACAGAAAAAAGGATGTGTCATTGTAGTACTCTATTTAAGCAGGGAGGAGGATAGCTAGGGAGGTAGAGGAGAGAGAAAAATATGAGGACAACAACCCACATGCGAAAGAGAGAAAAGTGACCATGAATTAGAATCGGGGTTGCCAAATAGCTACGTTGTTTTTTAAATGTCTACATAAATTGTAACAGAACCGCCCAATTTATACAAGATCAAGTACGGCTGTCCCCGCTAACACGTTGACACACACATACTTTCACTTATATAAACCCGGTAGTCCGCCGAGTGTCCCGAAAGACCTCGGTAAATCAACATCACAACCAAGATCGCATGATTAAGCAAATACACATCACATACACAGGGGTTGCAAAGAAATAATATTACATATGGGTTCACAAATAAAAGTACAAGTTTGGGTTTCAAAACCGCTTAGTGAAAACAACATAGCTTTCAAATGATTACATTAATATAAGTTCCAAATATATTACTAGCATAAGTGACATCATCCGCAAAAAGCATATAGATGAGAAGTAACTATAGAATCACCGAGCCCATCGGTGGTTAGCCACCATCTTCAACAGCCGAGAACTTCACCGCAACATGGTGGGATAAACCACGAGTACTTTCGAATGTACTCGGCCGGACTTACCCGTCGAAAACCAAAACAAATGACACCAAGGATCATGCATAGCTTAATTTAGTGGATCCTGGCCGACAACCTTTTTGCATAAAAGCTTGAGTAACCATTAGCATTATTCACTGTACTAGCGGCAAAGACTTTTAGCCATTACCTACCATCTATATTAGCACCTGTATTAATCAATCACTTGATTAAGTTGCAAACAATAATAACCATATCGGTATTTCATGGCTCATTGTCATTATCATCATCATCATCATCATCATCATTTAACCATATCTTTAAATTTAGTGAATCTACGTTGTCATTGCTTTCACCAAGTTCTCACTATCCGGGAGAGACGGCGATTCGAATCGATTCCTATCCACCGGAGGGGTATTCCTAAACACAAACCCCGCTTCCCCGTCGGTCGCAAAAGCGAGTCACCTTTGGTACGATTCAGAGTCGCGAGTCCGAACAGATCAACATTCTCGAGAACCACTCGCCAAGGTTGTTCGGGACTCTAACCCGCCTTGGACTTATGCCAATGGCTCTCCGCACATCCTTACTACCTCCGAGATCGCCGCCATCGCTCGCGTCCTCGGCTGAGTCGAGCTACTAGGCTTCAGCGGTCGGAACGACTTATCCGGCCAGCTAAGTGTTAGGCTACGTTCAACATGACATGAGGACGTCAAACAGATCGGTCCTTAAACGACACGAGCGGGGATAGATTCACACCCAAGACCTCCATGCCTTGTTGTCGCACTACCATCATCCCGTCCGGTCTACTTTCATTATTAACACATGGTTCTTTTTCATGATAGCCATTTTAGCCAACCGTGACCAGAGCTCATCCTACATCTCGCAGTGACAGAAATCACCCGACTTCTCTACGGTCTATGCATAGCTAAGCATCATTCGATCCTACACTTAATTAGGATTCACAGGTTTTATCTGGACAAGGTAGGGATATAATGCAACAATTGGTTCCAACCAATTCCTATACTTAATGCATCATCAACAATAAAAGATACTCAAGATATTTGTAAAAACATGGGAGACTTAGAATGCTCCGGGGCTTGCACGGATCCGACACAAGTCGGGTGTTAGGTAGAGCGACACTTTCGCTAAGTGAGCATCTCCCGTTCTAGCACTTGTCCAGTCCTTCCACCTTCGGGATAGGTCCACCATACACCGTCTTGGTTCGGCTCCAACATCTCATCCTTCACGTGGTGCATCTAGCGTACCTAGATGAGATGCAATATGCAAGTGCATAAATATGAAGAATAGCACCATGAGACGCATCACAAAATAGCAAGCAAGACAAGCATAGTTTACACTAACACACTTAAGTACTTTATGATGCTTAACTTAACATCACACAATCTATCATGCTAAGATAACAAAGAATATTATACATGGCACATAAGTCTCACAAGATCTCAGGTGTATTTAACTTAATTACTAAGGACGTGAACCACACCTAGCAACATGCAAAGCAAGTCAAGGTGAAGCAACAACTATAACCGGAATATGCCAATTTCTAGACTTGCAAACAGCGGCTTCATAAATCAATCATATCTGGAGTTTTATAAATCCAAATGATATGAAACAAGACATTCTGGAAAGCTTAGGAAATTATCTACATTTCATCTTTAATCATCTCAGCATGATTCCCAAGTTAAGTAGGTAGAAATTATACATTTACAGAAACTGGTCCCCAATTGACAGAGAGCAGCCATTTCTGAAACCCAACTTTAAACAGGCATAACTCACAAACTACTTGGTCAAATGATACCAAATTTTAACAGCAGCTAGATACATGAATTATCTACCACTTTTGTATAAACAAGTTTCACAACAAAGCACATTATCATGAAGAACTTTGCTAAGTTCCCAGATCTGTCCATAAACCACATTTGCAAGAAATTAAATATTAACTTATGTTGCAAACACATAATTAGACAAAACCAACTTTACCAATATGTCACACATGACTAAAGAACACCAGAAAACCTAGGGTCCATGACCAAATAAATTCTTTTAATGCATTTCTTAATTTATTTTAGATAACAAGGTGACTTAAGGAACCTATACCAAAAGTATACAATAAATTCTACAAAAATTACAGTGGCTCACATATCCTCTCAATAGTCTACTGTCCAAATTTCACTCCATTTTAATATGTATAGCACCCTCTATGAAAAAGACAATTTGCTAAAGCAAGAAATCATGTGAGGGCAAGATAAACCAATAACTCACTCATACTTCATCCAATACTCATGAAATTTTTATCACACATCAAACATAACATGAGTAGCATGCCACAAAAATTTCA